CATGTAAATATTGCAAACACATTCTATGTGGATGTTGGGCTAAGGATATGAGCATAATAACATAATAACTTAATAATAATAATGATGATAATAATATGTAATGTATATGTATATTTATTTCTCTCTCTCTCTCTCTGTGTATATGTAATGGAATATATAAAAATGTCCAAGGTCTTCCTCTGGCGCTTAGACTCACTACTACCAGAAGGCTTAGAAGATGCATGATGCTTGGGAGTCATCGCAGGGCTTAAAACAAAACGAAAAGTTCACAAAAAGTTTGCTCACAACAATCAGACCACAAGCAAGGTACTTACGCAGAGAACTGTAATGCCTTGGGGGAAAATCCGCGGTACAGCGGGGACCGCGATAGCTGAACCGCGATATAGCTGGGGCGCGATAGCTGAACCGCGATATAGCTGGGGCGCGATAGCTGAACCGCGATACAGCGGGGGCGCGGTAGCTGAACCGCGATATAGCGGGGGCACGATAGCTGAACCGCGATACAGCGGGGGCGCGGTAGCTGAACCGCGATATAGCTGGGGCGCGATAGCTGAACCGCGATATAGCTGGGGCGCGATAGCTGAACCGTGATACAGCGGGGGCGCGGTAGCTGAACCGCGATATAGCGGGGGCACGATAGCTGAACCGCGATACAGCAGGGGATCACTGTATATTGAATCATTATTGAAGCTAGTTGGTGAAATTGAGCTCTGACTGGGCTGTATGTAAACCATCACCTTTAGTCATAGTGGTGTTTTCTAGTGCAAATTTTCATGATCAATGGAAGGAGTTGGGAGCTGATTGTTTGTCAGGTTTGTACTCTGCTTCAGTCTTTATGTTTATTGCTACGACTTGAGGATTTCATTGATTTGCTTTGGAAATTAATACAATGTTGAGAATGGAAAGTTATGAACAAGAAATTCAGCAATAAATTAAACTGGTTATTTGTATTTCAAATGTAAATATTCTGTTCATGTAGAAGATTGTGTGTGTAAAGACAGAGAAGAGACTCTGATTGCGTTTTTATTGTATCATAATAAAATCATAGTGTCGTCAAGTTATCTTCTGACATCAGAACAAACAATTGACTCAGGAGACGAGGGTGCAGGCAGATACCCAGGGAGGGGGGAGATGTATTCAGGGAATACAGGGGAATATAAACAGGCTGTGGTGATGAAGGGGCGGATACCCAGGGAGGGGGGAGATTTATTCAGGGAATAGAGGGGAATATAAACAGGCTGTGGTGATGAAGGGCGGTGGCCCCCAGGTCAGGGGGAAGCATCTCCCACCTCATACAGACAGACACAGTTCCACTGGCTCCGGCTGGGTTGCTCAGGAGGTGGTCTGTGCTCGGGGCAGTCTTCTCCCAGTCTGTCTACTTTTGGGGGCACAGAGAGCATAAGCAGCACGCTGAGCCTTTGTTCTCCCCCAGGCCTTTTCCACAGCCATGTCCTGTTAGCACTCTTGCAGCCGACCGTGATGAAACCATAGCTACCGATGACCAGCATTGTGCTGATCGCCCCCTGCTGGTGTGTGACAGGATTAACTGCAGGTATAAATTCTTATTAAGTGAAAAAATCTGGGGTTGCCAAATTGCCCATAAGCGTCCATTTGTGAGTGAATGGTGTGTGAGCCCTGCAGTGGGTTGGCCCCTCATCCCGGGTTGTTTCCTGTTTTGCACCTGCAGTCTCTGGGATTGGCTTTGGACCCCCACCACCCTGAAAATGACAAGCAGTTTCATAAAATGTATGGAGAGCTGTGTGACTTTACTCTAATCGTGTTTCTGTAGCTCTTGCTGGTATTAAGTCCAACCCTAACCCTAGTATTCCTCTAACTGTATTATTTTCACATTATGCTCCCTGTTTATGATGTCCAGCTTTGGGCTATACCACCTGTTACACATCACAAAAACACCCTCTGTCTGAACAATTGCAACACCCAAATAATGTTTAATACCAACAACTTTAACAAAATTACAGCCATCTTGCTCAGTGGGTGTGTCATGGTGATATTTATCAGGGAAGTACCTCCTTCTCTTATCACTGACACCATGTAACTCTTGGTAAATCGCACCAATGCTTCTGTCCTTTAAAGTCGCCCGTGATAACGGAACCTGCCGAGATCCTTAATGACATGAAGGAACTGTGTCTCTCTGATCATCTTACTCTGTGAGTAACAGACTCACTGCTGTCTGGTTGAGTTTGAAAGAAGCTCTGGACAAATTATAAAACTAAATTAAATAAGTTCTCTGTTTATTTGTAACACAAACATCTGGTACAGACAACGCTACTCTGAGACCCAGCTGTTACTGATCATGTCTGGCTACGGATTACTGCACAGTCCTCTTCCTCTATACAGTTTTGTGTGGAATAACTCATTGTCTTCATTTAGTCTGTCAATTAAAAACATCACAGTCGGATCTGGGACTTTACTGTTATTCCATAAAATGTCAAGATTTCACTGGATCCAATGGGCGGATGTCTTCTCAAGAAATTCAACATTTTGGAAATATGACCACTAGACATCTGATTACAGGTAACAGTGTAGCTATAATCCTGTCATATTATCCTTTACACGTGTTTGCCGTCCTATTGTATTTTAATGAGACAGGAAAGACCTGACAGTAATTCTGCAATTGTCTAAAATATATAAATGACTATTGAAAAGATAACGCATTTTCGGGGAAGGCATCATGTCCCCAGTCAGGTTCTCTTCTAACCCTAACCCTAGAGGTGTGAGGATGAGACTGGGGTGTGAAACCCGGAGTGTCTGCTGCCTTACAGTGCAGCACTTTCCCGCAGTAACAGCACATATTAGGGAGTGTGACAGGGCCGGATTTCTGTTTCATTACATTCATTAATAATTATGGGTCCTCGTGAGTCACATTGGTTGTAAGTCGAGGACAGTCTGTATTGGGTCTCTGTAAGCAACAGTAAAGCGAATATGACCATGAAAATGTCCCACTGTCCCTGATATAGACGATTCCAATGGGTCCATAATGACCCCCAGCGGTTCTACAGCAGGGATGATCCAGAGCTGGATGCTGGTGGTCAGTGTGTCTGCGGCTGTTCTGCTCTGCGCTCCTCTCTCTGTCGGTACCACTGTTAACAGTGTCCAGTTTATAACTGCAACCTGTGAGTTTCTATATAGCTTGTAGAAGATTGCAGAAAGGCCTGGTTGGGGCATGTGCCTCTGAAGACCACAATGCTGCAGTGTGACAGTCATACAAACACCCGATTCAATGGAGAACTCCGTGACGGACCTGCCATTTGGTATACTGTGTTTTTTTTCAGGTGTCGTCATTTGCAAAATTACTAGTAAAAATGCATGCAAGAGTGTTTCTTTGTACACATAAAGTTGCTACTCTTCTGTGACTGTGTAGAGCCAGTCCTGCATGTCTGAGACCAAGGACCTGCTGCAGGTGAGCAACGACATGCTGATGCTCTCGTTCCACCAAATGGACTGGAACGTCGTCAGAGAAGCAACCACCAATGATGACCAGACCACAGACCTCAAAGAGTCTGCAGCCAGAGTGACTGGCTACATCAACAGGTAAACTGAAGGTGTCACAGTCACAAAAACAATCACCACACTTTCCAACCAGAAGCCATGGTTTACAGCAGAAGTTGGCAAATTGCTGAAAACCCGAGACGCTGCATTCAGAGTAGTGAGAGCACACACCCGTGATGCTGACTCCTCCCTCACATACATTGAACACCTTCAGACCCAACAACATCCCAGGTTGGGACCTCAGATGGACGTCATCAATACTTCCCCGAGCCAAGCAGTTATTCCACAGTGCTTCAAGACCATCTCCATCATACTGATGCAGTAGGAGGCCACTGTGTTCTGCCACATTCCTCCCTGTAGCAACAAACTCCAAACATCATGAAGTGCTTTGAATGGCTTAAGTCATCAGCTGTTCATCAGCATCCATGAAAACATGCACACATCAAAATACAAATACTCAAATACACTATTGATCTAACATCAGCGTATCAAATATAAATCGATTAAACATGGTTGTTTGCCTTGTCTAGAATTTTTTTTTTTTTAAATGCACATGTAATTCAGGCTTTTATTAATAAAGTTTTATGGGTTTGTATTACAGGGGAAGCACGGTAGTGCAGTGGTTAGCACTGTGGCCTCACACCTCTTGCACCAGCATTTGCGACGCTGCCATGGCTCCGTGTGTGGAGTTAGCATGTTCTCCCCGTACATGTACTGTCACTGTACATGTTACTCTGCTCCTGTGTTACTCTGCTCCCTGTGTTACTCTGCTCCCTGTGTTACTCTGCTCCTGTGTTACTCTGCTCCCTGTGTTACTCTGATCCCTGTATTACTCTGCTCCCTGTGTTACTCTGCTCCCTGTGTTACTCTGCTCCCTAGCTGCATTCAGTTATGGATTCTTTAGTTTGTTAATCCTTGTTTTTTCGGTTTTTGTTTTGACCCCTTGCAGTGCCTTTATTTTGCTGTTTCCCCGGTGGTGTTCAGTTTTCTTTATAAACCCCCTTTTTGTCTCTGAGCCACCAGCGGATCGTCCACCTTTGTCCCGCCTGTGCCATGATGTGCTGTGACAATACTGCGAGAAACTTCTTTAGATTTGTAAACTACTATTAGGCTAATGCTGCCTCCGTGTTGAGCGAGATGTGATTCACAACAGACGAGTTCTTACGTTGGGTCTTTCACTTCAAATCAATTCATTTTTATATAGCGCCTTTCACAGTAAAGTTGTCCCAAGGTTCTTTACTTGATTATGTTGTAGTACATCATTTATAGAAAGTCATATAACAACAGGACAGACATTGGATGAGAGAAAGAAAGGCAGATGAAGGAGAGGAGCCAAATACTCTTAGGTAGAGGAAAAAGGTCAACTGGCTACTTCTTCTTAAAACTCACACGGGGAGGACAGTTGGTGACACCTACATCTGTGCATGTTAAAATTAGCCCCCACCCACAGTGCAAAGGAATTGGTCCAGCCCTAGACAACAAAGTCAGTCATGGAGACGACGTGCATCTCTCTGATCGTTCTGCTCGGTGAGTGTCTGATTACTGTAGAAAGAGAACTGGATCTTTATTTCCAGACCAGCAGTAGAACCTTAAGGAACTAATAGTTTATTTGTCTCAAGGAATAGTTGTGTGTCTCAGTGTATTTTCTTCATGTTGTCGGTCTTAACTTAGACTGTCATGTTGAATTGGTGATGCTCCTTCTCACAGTGTGATTCTTCCTCAGGTTTGTGCTGCTCTTCTCAGGAGAGAAGGTCTGAGGAGGCTGTGCTGAGGATCGTCCGACTGGGAGACAATATTACCCTGCACTGTGATGTCAAATATGAGTTTGATACCTTCTGGTACAGAGAATGCTCTCATGAGAACCAGCCTCCACTGAAACTGTCTGGGCTAGACCATGAACGCAATTCTCATCCTCGATACATTTTTGTGTGGAACTCCTTGTCAGTTTCATATAGCCTGTCAATTAATAACATCACAGAGTCTGACCTGGGACTTTACTATTGTTCCACAAAATATCTCAAAGATTTCACTGGATCTAAAGAACACATCTATATTGATGATATGTACCATTTTGGAAATATGAGCATTAGACTTATGACTGAAGGTAAGAGTGCTGACATTATTCTTCATACTTGCAGTAATGTGGATGTGTCGCTCTAGACTGGGAAGGTAGCCCTGATAATTTGGAATCGATGAAGAACTGTCCGCTGTGCAAGTATTCTATGTATCTCATATTCTACCTAACCGCCAAATGTGTACAAAGGTGACTCAGGAGGCCCTTGGAGAACAGTGAACTCATTGTCATGTTCATGACATTAATTTCAGTGACTTTTGCTTTGTGGCATAATAAGGTATTATGCCGAAAGTAGCCGTTAGAAGAGGGGCGATTGTAGGCATGAAGGGATGGGCATGTTCAGCAACGATCGCATGTTCAGCAACGATGCTCAGATAGGCTGTGATAATTTATTGGTGCTAACCGGCCCAAAGTGTGTCAAGAAAGCATTCCTGACATTACTACACCACCAGCAGCTTGGACCATTGGGTCCATGTTGGCCAATGTAGGTTGGGTCCATGGATTCATGCGGTTGACCCACCATCTGTGAGCCTCAGCAGAAATCAGGATTCATCAGACCTTGCTGTATTTTCCGCATCTTCGAACTGTCCGTTTTTGGTGAGCCTCTGCCCTCTGCACATCTACTTTTCTGTTTTTGGCTGACAGGAATGGAACCTGACATGGTCTTCTACTGTTGTAGCCCATCCACCTCAAGGTTCAACGTATTCTTCATTCTGAAATGCTTTTCTGCTCACCGCAGTTGTACAGAATGGTTATCTCTGTTACCATGGCATTTCTGTCAGCTCAATCCATAGGTGTCGTTTGGTCTGAGTACTCAGGGCTATAACCTCGAGTATTTTAAACCTAGCCCCAAGTATTTCGCCTCAAACCGGTCTGGCCATTCTCCACCGACTCCCGACAACAAGTTGTTTCTGTCGACAGGACTGTGGCTCACTGGATGCTTTTTGTTTTTCGCACCATTCTGAGCAAACCTGAGACTGCAGTGCCTGGAGATCCATGAAGATCAGCAGTTACAGAAATACTCAAACTAAATATACGCGGTCAGAATCACTGAGGTCCGATTCTGATGTTTGATGTGAGCATTAACCGAAGCTCCTGAGCTGTTCCTGCATGATTTTATGCATATGCACTGCTGCCACATGATTGGCTGATTGGATAATTGCACAAATAAGCAGGTGTATTGATGTTCCCAATATGAAAGGAATCAACTATGTCTTGAATCGTAATGATCATCCCTTTAATTTCCTTTTAAATACTTTTAAATATAAAATAGCTAGAAAGTACGGAACTCCTAAAAGCATGTCAATGCTCAACATCTTTTCACATTTGGCCAGACCTTATGTCTGTGCACATTCCTCAGGTTGTGTGCACGGCAATCAAACATGAAATTATCAAATTTATTGGACCCCCAAAGTTAGCAAAAGCCAAGTAGATGAATCACTGAAATAATCTTTTTAAATATTTTGTCCTGATTTGGACCAGCATTGTCCGGTGAAGATCTTAGTAACTCTGGCTATTACCATCAAAGGAAGCCCCAAGTCATCCCAAATGCCACGATCAGTATCATTTCATGAATAACTTTGTTGTACCTATTCGTCTGGAAAAGGCAGGAAAGCCATTTGTAAGACCCTGAAGTTACACTGTGACGTCATAAATTTACGTCATAGAGATTTATACCAGCGTTCGCCCATAGCTTAATCCTGCTTCTCCTCCAGCTCAACAGCGCCCCCCAGTGATTCCCATCACCATGCTGTGATGGGGTTTGTGTGGTAAAGCACAGATCAAGGGTAATGTGCTTCTCCACCCTCCCTCCAGGTGGGCCCACATGTGCCACCAACCAGGAAACTGGGTTTATCCCTATGGTCACCCTATCGGTAGCTCTGCTCTGCATCCTCATCTCTGCACGCGTGTACTGGCTGGGAAAAAATACACAGAGGGTGAGTAACCTGGGGCATCAATAGGCACAAGTTCTGGAACTTCAGGTTCTGAGTTCCTGCGCTGCCTCTATCGGGAACTTTTGTACTTTCTGGCCACTTTCATGTTGCTTTCCCTGCACAAGAGGACCTGCGACCTTTATGTAAAATAGGCACAATATTTTGCATGTGACACTTCATATGTAACTTCATAAGCGACAAAACTACACCACCACACCAAAACGATGGAGAATGATGCTGTTTGTTCTGTATGTTTTTTTTGCCAGCATATGTAGTAGAAATGCACATACTGTATTGGCCAATATTTGTAAAAAAAAAAAAAATCAAGGTATCAGCATCGGTCTTGGCTGACACTTCAACTTTATCAATATTGAAAGGTAGCAGCACCACAACTAAAGACACAACTATTAAAATAATGGAAATGATTACATTGGATAAGTCATTTTCTGTAGTGGAGGGATTTTGTGGACCCAATTCCCCATTCATAAGAAGTCTCAAAGTTCCGGCCTGTAACATGTTTACAATAATTAAACCTGGCTTGCAGATCCATCTTTGTTTCTGCAAGACCTAAAACTGCAAATAAAGTCAGTTCACTTCTATCACTTCTATGAGCCTCGAGCTGTCGCCTGCAGGCCAGTAATATAAAGGAAGTTGTTGTGGTTTTTCACTGGGCTAATCTACACTAGGAAGCTCAGTACATTTCACCGCCAGCAACCCCCCCCCTGCCCCCCCCTTCAGAAAGTGGCTCTGGTTACTCAGAGGTTTGCTGTTACTCAGAGACCAATAATTTGTACCGGTGATCTTATGCATCTATATATAGACACTGATCAAAATTTCCAAATCCTGTGCACCAATATTTTGTATATCGTCTATTGAAAAATGACTTAAAGACAAGTTAAAAAATGACAGGATAGCCAAAGCAAAAAGAAGAAAATACGTCAAATTAAGGAGATCACATTTTCCAATGCATGAGATATCGGTATTTAGAGATCTACTGATCTACCACATCTCTTTCCCCCACATTTCTGCATAACATCCCAGTCATGCAATAGTCCAATAGTCATACGGGCACACACTTTGGGTTAGTGTGCATCTGTGTTTATGTCTCAAATCAAACTAAACTAACACACTGCCTCTGTATTATTGCATAACCTCATATAAAACCATAAACACAACACAGGGCAAACCATGATAAAAAAAACTGCATTGTTATTTTAGCCCTTCATAAGACAGTGGAGAAGCGACAGCGGCTTCCTGCTGGTACTTCAGTGTCTGATTGGCTGTCACCGATCTTCCATTTACATCACATGACAAAGTCACATGACATCATGCGTCATACATGTCTTATTAATCTGTGATACTGTATCATAGGCGCAGGCCAGAAGTGATGGAGGACAACTGCTTGGCATTTACACAGAGGTCAATTACAGCCCACTGTGACCTCTGACCTCAGCTACACCTCCACAGGTCATGTGATCCCGATAACCCCACCCTCCAAGACTCACTTACACACCTAAACCACACACCCCTACATGACTTCATTTCAACACAAAAGGGATTCACTTTTTTTTTTTCAATTTTCATGTACACGTTGAAGTCTGGTTGAATTCGAAATTGAGTATACAGCTTTATTTTGGATGATTATTAAGCAATAAAATGTTACTTTTGTTTGATTCTGAAAAACCCCTTTGGCTGAATAATTTTTCGGTCCAGATCGTCACTGTTCTATGGCGTGATGGAAAATATTTTCCTCATAACTCGTAATACTCATAATAAGACTTGAAAACACTTAAAAATTCAGTGTTGCTTGCATCTTAACCACACACTCCTACATGAGTTCATTTTGACACGTAAGCGGTTCAAATATCACAGACATTAAATTATTATTTGATTTGACATTAAATTATAATTGATTGGAGGCAGAATAGTCACATGTCCATTGGTCCTTGAGCAAGACCCCTAACCCACGGCTCCTTGGGTTCTGCACGGGGGCTGCCCCTTTACTGTGCCACCCCCCACCCCCCAGCCAAAGCTTACTTTCATCTGTATGTATGTCTTATGAAGAACAAAATGGGACAAAGCAAATTATCCGACATGGATTAATAAAGCATTTCTAGTTAATAAAAAGGCCCTTTGCTTAAATCGTTTTTTTAAACACAGATCATCATTGTTTTTTGACGTTAATGGCTTGAGCCATGAGCAGATGTCTGCAGACCAGCAACATAAAGGAAGTCGCTGTGGTTTTGCAGCATCACCTCCCACTCTCCAGCCCACGTTCTGCTAGCTGACCTGTGTATCCTGTCCCTCATCTCCAAACCATCGTAAACAATACCAAGAAATGTGGCTGCAATTCTTAGAGAACCGGACTGCAGTGTTCTGTATGTCAGCTGCCGTCCCAAACCCGGCCATTCGGACACAAACTCTCTCCTACTTACAGAGTTGTGGATAAGTTATCATTCTGTCTATTCGCTAAGAGCTAAGCGTCTCCCAGAGTGACATCACTGCTTTGACCTTGCAGTCATGAGGGTTATATCTGCCTGAACACTAACAGAGTACATCTCAAACAACCTAAGCCACAAAAACTTCTGAATGGGCGCTACAAGTTTTAACAACAATAAAGGGAAGTGCAAACACATTCTTGGTATAATAACTCACGTGACCATGCGCAGATCATTCGGAATCTCGCATTGCTTTGCTGCCCTCCTTTTAAAACATGGCAACTGTTTATTTTTATTTATAATATAATAGAACAGTGCTTCTGAATCTTTATTATTTCATTTTAGTCAGATGTTCCACAGGTGTTCCCCCTCAGCTTCTGATTGGTCATTTTCCCCCATGGCCACACCCTTACTACACTTTATCAGGGCACTGGCAGCAAACCCACTGTAGAGAACAAGCACACGGTACTGATGACCTATGGGATGGTCTCAGTAGTATGCAGCTTCTGCATGTGACTTGGTGTAATATTACCGAAAACATGGGGCCTCACACCTGGCCCGTTAGGGCAGGACTGCTAGGAGTGAGAGAGTATGTATGGTGACACTTGGCGGGGAAGGGGAAGGTCTTGAAGACATTGCTGATCACTGCAAACAGACTGCACTGCGGGAATATTGGAAACTTTTTTTTAAGTAACTTAAAAAATAGATTTTAAGATGAACCAGTACAAAAATACAACATAAAATATTTTCATTATAAAACATTTCATTACCAGTATCTTATCAGAAGTCACAAGGCTATTGAGACAGTGTAACAAAGGAGGGTTTATGTCTTGGTTAGTCCCAATATCTTAACACCAGGAATTAACGTAAAATTACTAATATATCCACTAGGTGGCAGCATTGACTTTTGTACATTTCATACAAGCCTTACTTTTACGTGGCAAGATGTTGATCCACACATCGCTGCTATGTCCACCTCTTATACTCGATATTTCAATTTAATAAACCAGATTTCTAGACATAAAGAAGTGAACCAATAACAGAAGTCACCAGATTGCCTGTACTGTGGGTGAATGGTGTGACACCCTGCGATGAGTTGGCTCCCCATTCTGGGTTATTTCCTGCCTCGTGCTTGTAGCTTCCAGCATAGGGTCCAGACCCCCCGCGACCCTGAATAGGACAAGATGGTACGCAAAATGAATAAATGGATACATCTTTCTGTAATAGTGTGGAAGAGAGGATTAGTGTGAACATATTTTAAATCAATGTAAACTGTGGTTTTCCGTTATACGGGGTTGCTGTCTGAAAGCCATAACCTTTCTAAGCCTAACCCTTCTAAGCCTAACCCTAACCTTTCTAAGCCTAACCCTAACCCTTCTAAGCCTAACCCGAACTTCAGTAAGGTTTCCCTAATCTGGTGACTTAGGGTGACAGAACAGGCCGTTGGAAAGCATGAAATGAGTTATTAAATGTTATGTCATCTATCAACATTCTACTAAAACATGGAAGTGTAAGCTAGTGGAATATAATATTTTTTCTGGGAGGAACTTGCAATGTCATACTGTGTTTTCTTATATAAACTGGCAAAAATATTTAAAAGGCATATCTGGGACTCTGGAGTGTGCCGTGATATTCTCTTGTCTGTATGACTTTCTGTTTTCTGTCTGTGTGGAAGGCATTTATTGAATTGGATCTTTGATCTGCAGGATCTACCAGTACACTGCATGAGCTTTAGGCAGTTCCAGCTTTTAAGTAACATAACAGGTTCCTGGCTTTGTGTGTTGGTTCGATCGGAAGCCACATCATTGTCGACAGCCGATTTTATGCTTCCTGCAGGGGGCAGTAAAGAGCCAGCTGGTGTAGAAGTCGAACAACGGCCCTTAGGACCCCCGCTTAATTCATCGTGGAGGCTGCCGCTGCAACAGTGAATGGGAGAGCGGGGGCCACAACAAACCACACCTCCCATTCCAGCGGTGAACCATAATTACATTGTGCTAATTATGGCACGAGGACCAGAGTAGGTCAATTATAGCTCATGGTCCGAAGGGATATTTGGGAGGAAACCATAGGGGACAGCGAGACGGGGAGCGTCTCCTTGTGTTTGCACAACGTGATAGTTAGGTGAGCTGTCTGCATCGAGCGACTTCAAAAGAACATCTCAAAATAGACCAAAATGGACTGTGCTGATTTTCACCCTTTACTCTACAGAAGGCTCAGTGTACAAATTCTTAGCTTCTATTGTCCATTGAGGCACAGAAGACCCGTGGCAGGGGGGTAATCATGTGTTTTTGAGAGGTATCATTTCATCTTCACGTCCCTCCCTTAATCTGAACGTGGAAGTCCGTCACCTTTGTCCTCCACAAACCTCACGGCTCAGCCCGTGCCAGGTTTCAACTAGGACTGTGTTTTTTTACCCAAACATCTCTGCTCAACGGCACTGGGGGAACTGGGGGAATTTGGCCCCTTCTTCAGGCATGATGGAGGCCAAAAGCTGTTATCCTGATCAGGGTCTCATGGCAACACGGGGAACAAGGCTGGGGTGGGGTACAACCTGGACGGGATGCCAGTCCATCACAAACCAGCCGATGACGGTATTAGGCATTGCAGCTCATCATTACTACAGTGTAATTAAAAGCTACCTAACCAGTGGGTTACTGTGAAAACATACCAGGTCTGGCCGTCTCCAAAGGAGCCCACATGTGTTACGCATTTCGGTTCGGTCCGCTTTTATCTGAAGCAAACTGGCAGAAGCTGTGAGCCCATCCGGCACTGCAGTAAGGTTCCCGTCTTCCGTGAAGTCCTGGTGCCAAAACTAGGCAAAATGATTTTTGAAATAATCATTTCAATCTGTGCTCAGTGAAGGAATTTCCAACGGTTGGGCGGAAAATCCAGACCTGTAATTGACTGCTTGGGTAGAATCTATATTAAACCTAAGCTCATAAATATTTATACTTTGGCTCATAGACGCAGTTTTTAATAACAGAAAATAGTCAGATTTTATCCAGATAATCACCAGACGAAATGCAGTTGCTTTGAGAAATTCCGAGCCCGACTCTAGTTCCCATACTTTAATGGCAAATGCTGTGAATGTTGGAGGAAATGACTTAGCATCCATTTGACAGGGAGATTGGATGTTGGGCATAATGTCTTATTACCATGGTAACCCAGCCGAGGCCTGCTAAGTCCAATCAGCCATGGTGATCTTAACCAGTTGATCTAAACACCAGTTTGCGCCAAAATCGTTCGGCCACTCACTGCTATTATTCCCCCCGACTGATGTTGAAAATAGTGTCACCGTGTTTCAGACCCCCCGGTGTGTGAGGTAATTGCATACTGCGTGGGTCTGTTCTCGTTGGTCTGCTCCCACATCTCATCCAGGGCACCCCCACGCTTCCTGGGCCTGGTTATATGTCTCCCCATGATCCTGTGCAAGACGAGGATGAGGAATTCAATTTCTGGCCAAGACCAGCAGATGTGGCCATTCCACCATGTGCAGTCATCTATTATCTCAGCACTTATTCGCAGACATTATGCCCTTAGGAAATATCACTGTATTACGTCCCATTACTACACGACCTGCCCTAAAATTAGCTTTTGTAGCAATCTAGTAGTTTCTATTTCTGTAGAGCAGGGGTTCCCAAGGTGATGGGAGACACTGGTGGAGGAGGGGGGGGGGGTTTCATTGGGTCGCAGACTGTATGCTTAAAAAAAACATTTTGTCAAACCTCTGGGACCTGGGTTCGAGTCTCTGCCATGGCTCTCTGTGTGTGGAGATTGCATGTTCTTCCCGTGTCATTGTGGGGTTTCCTCCAGGTGCTCCGATGTCCCCCCCAACAGTCCAAAAAACATGCTGAGGTTAAATTGCCCATAAGTGTGAATAGTGTGTGAGTGTGCCCAACCGTGGGTTGGTGGCCCATCCTGGGTCGTCCCTTGCCTTGTGTCCATAGGCTCCAGACCCCATGTGACCCTCAATATGGGGTGAACTATAGCTGCACTACTTTGTTTTCTGAAATAAATCTTGTTCAAAGTTTTAAACATTTGAGTCATGACTTAATGACCAAGGTAAAATGTGGATCATGAGGCTGTCAACTGAGAACCACTTCTCCAGAGTACTGAGACAGCACGAAACACCGCATTTTACACAGTGCTAATGGTTAGCCCTTTTGGATTATCTTATCAACAATGACTGACAGCATGCAAAGAGCAATGCAGATAGCTGCCACTAGAGGGCACCAGCAGCAGGAAATTATTTTTCATGCAGCCTATGTCCATCCTATGGCTGGAGGCATGCCAGGCACCATAGGGTGTGATTTATTGTAAGAAGATGACACGCCAGTTCGGGCAGGCGACTCACACAAACACCGCAGGCATTTCGGAGACTACGGTTCACCTGTTGACTGCCTGTCATTAACTGTGGGAAGAAGCTACAGAACCCAGAGGAAACCCACACGATGCAGGGAGAACAGCACATGTGCAGAATGGGGGAGGGGTCACCTTTGATTATTTATGCACTATTTAGTCCTGCATATTGCAGACATTAATCTGCGGCTACCACAGCACTTTAGCACAAAGGCTAAACAGGGGCCGTCAGTCCAAACCCGGCATTCAGCTCAGTGATTCCTTTTATGTTTCAGAGCTTGGGGGCGGCAGCTGGCAGGAATCTCTACATCCACGCAGAAAGTACAGCAGCGTTCCGGCCGCAGGTTAAATTCGACTATCTGTTCAGCCGTTTTTGTTTGCATCTGCCTGTTAACACCAATGACTGTTATTGTCTCCTTCTGAGTGTCTGCATTGTGGCCGACACGGGTTGACAGACGTGCACAGACCTACACGCGTGTACCCAGACACAGGGACAGCACCGGCGGAAGGGTTCATTCTAAATGGGGAGCTGCTCTGTCGCAGCCCACGGTGCTGGGAGACAGAGGGGGTGCTCCCCCCCCCCCCCCGTGCCATGGCAGAGTGAGCGGGGTGAGAGTTCTGGGGAAAAAAGGACGGTTTAGCACACAGTCTGGTGAATGCTGCCTCGCACAGGATGAACTCACGAGTGTTCTAATTGATGCCTTTGTGTTTGTTTGTTCGATCAATACAAAACAACTAAACAAACAACGATTTTGGAACAAATCACAGCAAAACCTTTTAGTTGGGGGCTAAGTCGGGCATTCCTATTTAGCTAGATCAATCAGTCAAGTTATTTCATCCTTGTCCCGTGCTGCCTGGACGTGAGTCAGACTGGGTTGTTTGTACAGATCGGCCCATAGATGAGCATCCTGGTCGTCTGCGCTCGTTAGCATGTCACGATGCACTTGCAGTCATCACGTGTTAGCGTGAGTTAGCAACAGACGATTCGACTGCCGTGAAATTAAAGACGTCCCTGTTGACAGGCACTGTCTGACTCAGGCACTGTCTGATATGAATAGTGGAGTGTTTCAGGAAGCTGAATGATTTGGCAGTATGAGGGAAAATGAAACTGGTAAATGAGTAATATTTCTGGAAAATAATTTGCGGGAATGTAATAGGAACCAGGGCCCAGCCGTGGTTCTGTGTTTGGCCTGACTCCTTTGTGTTAAGTCTGTGTAACAAAGTAACCAGTTTATTACTGAACGAGATGAAAATGTTAAACTGACAATGCAGACCAAACAATGATGTTGCAGAACTTTAGCTGTGAAAACAGCCCGAAAGCTGCTTGTGAAAAATGAGATTATCATAAGTACTAACATGGAAACTGAGGCACTGAATTATGCTGATTCTCCTCCTGAAAATTCATTTATAATCAGCAATACTTCCTGGTCCAAATCAAAGGATGAATGGTTCATTCTCCAGCTCTAAAGGACACAAAACGTCTTTTATCCTCAGATGTGAGTGATTCTTTGAGAGAAATCTGGTTTAAGGGCCCTCATTGTGAAACACTGAATCAGTCCAATCAGCCCCTTGTTATAAAGACGGAAGTGAATTCAGATATATGGGCATTTTTCACAATGTTCCTCAATGTTTTTAAGGCCAAGTGAGCTGTTGCTTATTCTAATTGTAAAGTGTAATGCCTACCAGAGATCTTCAGGTGATCTCACTGAGCTCGCCAAGCTTTGCTCTGATGGTAAACATCATAATTATTCACATCAGGCCTTGTAGCTTACCAAAGTTATCCTGAATCTGGCCTAGATGTTTAACTTATTCAAGTTAGCCCTGGTAGTTTACTAAAGTAAACCGAATTAACTATTCGGTAACACTTTCTTTGAATGCCATGATTATAAGAATCTACAAATACATTCATAACACATTATAATGTATTAATAAAGCATTATAAACATGGTTAGAACTACTTGTAAAAAGGCATAACACATTATAGCTATGTATATTATACATTATGAATTGCATAACACTGAACTTGAAGCTGTCATCTGTAATGCATTATAGACACCTTCATAATGCATTTCAAAACATCGGCAATGCATTATCTTGGTGGGTTTAAGAATTAAGGATGCTTTGTAATGCATCATGAAGGTATCTACAGTGCATTATAGATTAGAGCTTCACTGGCGCTTATGAAGTATAATCAACACTATAATGCATTATGACTGTCAATAGAGGATGCTGTAATACTTATTAATTCTTATACTGACCATTATAAGGCATTATGAACGTATCTAATGCATTACAGATGACAGATTCAAGCAAAGTGTTACCAACTATACTTTAAAGTCTGGGGAGGAATGGATGAAATAAAGTATTTTCCTCTCTCTCCCTTTCCTTCCACATACAATTTCAGGCCACAAAAAGCCCAGCTAAATTCAGCAGAGCAAATACTTTATTCTGTGACTGTTTATGGTTGGAATCTACAATTACACCCTGATGACAATTTGACCATTTTAGCTTCTGCGGTATATAATTCACTTCATTAGCAATTTACCGCGATTAGCGAGCGAAGGAGGGCTTTAATTTTTCACTTAAATTACGGCTGCATCATGCAATGAAATGGGCACCATCTGCTGTCGTTTCCCCCGGAGACCGGACAGCTCCCGTCGGTCACACAGCCTGGGATTCGGGCTTTAATTTCACGCTTTAATTTCAGGCTTAATAAATATCAGAAAGTAGCTTATTAGCGATTGGTATTGCACAAGTTACGATTAGTCACTTCCGGAGAAGTACAGAAAAGAGATGGAAAAAGAGAGATCTGTCAACCAAGGGGGGGGGCAAGTTGCAATGAGAAACCTTTGCTAGAGTTCAGATTCCCCCGAAGGGGGTGGTTTTGGTCCAGCTGGCTTTCCCCCGGAGAGATAAACAGCCCCCCCCTCGCGTCAATGCCCGTGTGAGAGCAGAAGCAGATGTCATGGCTTATGTACACGCTGGCCGCCGTCCATCTGCTGAATGCGGCCTTTAATCTCTCGAAACGATAAAATCGCACAGATGAAAATTGGCGACCGAGCGAGTCGTCCCGTGTAGGGCTCGAATGCTACGTTAGTTTGCTCCGGGAGGCAAAGCTGAATTATGTAAAAAGACAAACTCCAAGAAGTTACACTTAAGTAATTGCAATATCGAATCCATCCATGTACTATTACTGTCGTCCATTTTATTTGTTGACGTACGCAACATGTGACCTTCGCAGATACGTAAGAACACGAGCGTCTTGTGAAGTAAGCGGCATTGGTGGAGTAATCTCTTCTGCGCTCCTTCTGAAAACATTGTCCTTCGTAGTGAGTGGCGTCCCTGGGGGGGATTTTCCTGTCAGCACACATTGAGGCACGTGGGCGGCCCAATACTGTTACTAAAGAGTGATCATCCTTAATGCACGAACCTCAGAAAACTGTCTGAACCCCGCAGGCACGGTTCCATCCTTTCACGTGGGGCTCTACACACTTTCTGTAGCTGCTTGTCGAATGCAGGGTCACGGTAGGTTAGAGAATCGGGTTTCCTTCTATCACCGCTCAACACCAGGAAACTTCTGGACACACAGGGACAGCATGAAAACTGTAAACACACGGGCTCTTGGAGCAGTGAGGAAGCAGTGGCACCCTCTCATCTGGATATTTCACTCTGGAGATGTTAATCAGCCCCATTAATTATGAAACATCTAAAGATCAACTTTGTCTACAAGCTCAGTCTCACCTGGGATCATCCATATAACACGTGGATAAAAATCGAATTAAACGAAATGTGTTAGTCAATCGATCCTGTCACATTGTGTAAAATCAAAACAGGAATAGTTTTCTTTGAGAGTGACATCACCGCTGACTCCCTGCTTCCAGTAGCCATGGAGACCAACCAGCTGTGTCCTGTAGTTCCCCCAAGGCTCAGTGCACTGACAGCTTGGTCAGCAGGGGGCACCCTGGCACTCATCATTCAGGACACTGCTGGGACACTGGGTCCAAAGGGCTGGCATTACCCGCCGAAATGTCAGGATCCTGTGGGGGCAATTACCACCGCTCTTCGCCTCGCGTCCAGAAGCCACCTCACATTTCGGCTAAATGTCGCCGGAGCCCAGGGTCCCTGTTGCTGGCTCGCTGCTTGGTCAACATGAGGAAACTCATTTCCTAGCTTGTGAGCCAATGAAGGGATGTGATCCCTCTCTGCCCCGCCCACATTAGCACAGGCTGTACCATATTGGCTAATGACACACTGTCCTGCTCAGTGATTGGCTCCTCGCCACACAGAGAGTCAGAGGAATGCAGCCGCCCTCTTTTATCTACTCCATGAAGCGATGGATCATCTTGAGCAGTGTGCTTGGGGGGGGGGGGGGGGGGGCTTCAACATGGGTGTGGACTTTCAATATTTACTTATCTGTCTGTTTTACTTGTTAAGAATGACTAATAAAGGAAACAATCTGTAATAAATGTATAAATAAACACAAGAGAGAAAACTTCCAGACTGACCGGGGATTGTGCCAGGAGGCTGACCCAGGATAAACAAGAGCTGTTCTCTTAAAGGGATTTCTCTCCCCTTTAAGTCTGGGTGCTTTACACATAAACAAGAAATTCCTGTGTCAGACCAGTGGCCAAGTATGCAACCCCTATCCCCCCCCACTCCATGCCTCTCCCCCCCCCCCCCCCCCCCCCCCCCCCCCCCCCCCTCCCTCCCCCCCCCCACACACACACACACACACACACAGTGCGAACGCACACATTCCTGCAATAGCTAAGGTGTCTGACACTTCACTTTCCCCACAAAGTTTTGCACAACCTCCCCCCCCCCCCCCAGACACAGACATCTGTCTTTTATGACCAAAACACACCACACTAGCCTCCAACAATGCAATGCCCCCTTCTGCAGCATTATTAACTCTTAAAGGAGCTTGTATCTATGCTGGATGAAACCGGATTGCCGAGATGAAATTCCTTGGCTACATAGGGAATGACTATTTTAATAATTCTTCCTTAATGTGCTGTGCCCTGCTTTCATCAAACGAAGACACAAAATGAAAAAGTGCACGTAGCACGGTACACAGAGTACATAATGCAGACGGCACTATAAAACCATTGACTATTACATAATACTATGGGTACTTGTGATTTGTGGTGAGTTGTGGTGTTCTAAGCACTCTGCAGACAGTGAAAGTGCTCATTGATGCTCGCTAATTGTTGCAGCCCTAATCGCTTTCTGGCTGATCTTTGTTTTTCGAAGACCTGCTTTCTCCTGGCCTTCAGCCACCTCTGGATGGGCGATTGGACGGCGCATTTTTTACTTTTTCTTGCACCAGCAGCACGTCAAAGATTTCCACCTATAAGCTCCTTTGAGGAACAAGGCTGTTATTAAAATCCCGGATAAGCTCGGAAAGGGTCTTGGGAGAGCAGGAAAGCTGTTTACTCCGAGGTCGGCTCGGTGGAGACTGGGATGCAGCTTTGGAGCACGGAGGTAAGTCAAGAAGGTGGGAAAGCGGGCGGGTATAATGAAGATGGGGGCGTGGCTAATCTCTTTCGGCATGGGGGGGGGTGGAGGGCTCAAATGTCAACGTCTGGCTCAAGCAAAGGGCAGCACTGCACACTGTGGCATATAAAGGAAACGTCAAAATGTCACACGACAGTGCGGAGACGGAGAGAGACGGCGGCCCACAGCGTTTCGTGTGCGCGCCAGCCTCAGATTTTTAGGATTTTGCTAAAATCGACATCAATTACAACCACTGCAATAAATGCGATAAACACTTTGTTAGTAAGTTTGAATGCTGGCCATTGTAGTTTTCCCCTGCAGCCCAAAAGTCAAGGGGAATTGCAGACTCAAAACTGCGTGCACATCTGTGTATCTCTATGTGTGTGACAGACTCCCATCCTGCGTAGGGAATCTCCTGTTTCCTAGAACAGACTCCAGGGGCACTAAGTATGAAATACCTCATTATGTAAAATGTACAGGTTTCTGCAGCATCTCAGATATTTAATCTATATTCCTATTGCATGGTAAATGATGCATATGATGATATTATGATGGTATAGTGCACGCTGTTCAGGGTCTCCAGCGCCAACCCCTAAGCATTCTGGGACGAGCTTCAGGCTGACTGCCACCCTGTATGGGATCACCGGTTATGCAAGATGGATAGGTGGTGCTTCTGTGGTTTGTTTAGTTCTCAGAGACCCTGAGGGGTTCAGAGAAAACCTTGGCTGTAGCCTGAGACGGTATATCAAAATTGATCCGAAAATAAATATTTGATATGTTCAGATTACTTGGATATCTACGCGCCATGTGGCAGCCTAGCAGAACACACAGCTGGTGACACGAAGTGCGAGCGACATGTCAACAAACAATTCACACGGAGCCGCGAGTAATCTCGCAGTGAGTGACGTCTACTGCTGCCCCAGATCAGCCGACATCACCGCAGTGAGCAGTCGTCGGAGCAGCTCACGGTTTATAATCTTGGCAGGACACTCCTTCCTGTTGCTGCAAGCTGATGAAGTCCACTGGATGCCTGAAGTCTGCCTGCAGAAGACATTGACTGCAGATGATCACTGCGTTACTCGGCAGTGAAGCATCAAGGCGGGTTTAACAACACACTGCCTTATTTAGCTTCACACTGCCTCCAGTGACAGCAGAAGTGGTGGAGCCCCAACGCAGGTTCTCGAAGAAACGCAGTGACACGGAACACAAATAGAGGAGCGCATGTCACCCCAGCCTCCACAGCCACGGAACGTCTTTGGCTGCACCTTGGTTCCAGAGCCCCTGATGCACCGCTGAGGAACCCGTTCCCTGAAAGGCCGAAGTAGCAGCAGCCTAACCCTAACCCTAACCCTAACCCCCCGACGCACTAGCAATGACATGGAGGATAGACAACATGAAGCAAAAACAACAAGAGAAGTTCTTTAATGATGTGATCCTAGCGGGCATCTTAAGCCAAAAAATTCAAGAACTCTGTCATCATAATACCGCACTCGGACCATATCCGCTCCTGCTTAACGGCAATATAAATGATCTGATCGGTCGAATCACACATTTTTGAAACGTCACACACAAATATTTAAAACCTACCCTGATGTCGTGGCAAACGGCAATGAGGTGTGCGAGTGACGGGACAGACGAGCTTCTCAGGTTACAGCACCACAGACGCACACACACTTACACACACTTAATGTAATAATATGCTGAATCTAAGCCCCATGTGCAGTTCCACTCCACAGGTGATATATAATTTTTGAGAAGCATTTAAAATTAAATGTGTTCTTATAACCTATGTGAGATACTGACAAGCTTTCACTACATGCCTTAGGTTAAAAAAACACTGAAGCATATCAACTAGAAGGCACTTATTTTTATATTAAAATAGCACAACTTTAGTGGCTCCTGTCTTCCTTCTTTGGGTACTGTCATTTTCGCTCCTTACCCATTCCTCCCCAGGTACATTTTCTATATTTATAGTATTTTTTCCCTTCAGAGAGCGGGCTGACCCTGTTGTGGGGGGGGGGGGGGTGCTCTCATCCTCATCTGGTTGCTTGGGCTGACCTGCAACAAAACAGACCACCCCTGTCAGCATTAAAGGGACGACGAACATCGCGTGTTAGGGCGTGCGTACAAAGCTGAAGATGCACATCCCAGCCAGCGTGCTGTCTCTATCACGACACTCTTTTTTGATTCCTCGAGATGGCAACACGGGTAGATGTTGGTTGTTTTTTCTACAGCGTAGCACGTCACCCTGTCTCTAACGTTAGTAGATTTAAAAACCAAGGGGAACAACTTTAACCAATATCTACTCTGACTATAACAAACACTAGACTATCTGGCTGAGGAATTACGTGTAGAAACTTCTGGTCCAGAAAGTACAAATCCAGACCAAGGTTTTGTTCCAACCAACCAGGTGCGTTCTCTGTGACGGTGACTCTTTATGCTGAACTGGCTGGTTGAAACAAAACCTTGGTCTGGATTTGTGCTTTTCTGGATCTGAACTTTCCACCTCTGCCCTCCAGCAATCCAGCACTTTTTATTCAGACAGCCACGATAAACCTTCTATACTCGAGGAAGCTACAGGGGCAGTAGGGGCACAACTGTAATTTGGGGGAACCCTGAAATATAAGGAAGGGATCCAAAATGGGGTGCATCTTTTGTGCACCCCTATTCTGGCTTACATTTTTGTATTCTGTGTCTAAAATGAGCCTGGAGTCATTGGTATCTGCTGCGCAAACAGAGCTCCAGATTCCTCGTGGCTTTTCTTGAAGGGTTGTACTGTTTACCAGTCATGCAGGAGCCCGGAGAGTTTCGCGCAGATGTTTGACTGGTGTCTGCAGTTTCTTCTCATCCATGGTGACACTGTGCTGTCTTCAGAGTCCTTGGTTGAAGATCCACATTCCCTTTTTAACACACTTCGATATTTTGACTAAAGACGCTATTTAGACAATGCTGAGCATGCTGCCAGTCGTGTGGGTTCGTTAGCCAGCTATGACTGGAGACACCGTGTTTCGATGGACAGTCAAGTACCAAGGAGTGAGGCTGGTGACCCATTAAGCTGCCCTGTCTTTTTTAAGGGTGGCATTTCAGACATTTTTGTAGGTCTGCTGCTCCCATCTTCCCACACGCGGGTAGCTATGAGCTATAGATTCTTCTTACGTATTTATAGGGAGAGTGAGTTTTGCTTTTTTTTCCCCAAATATCCTCCAATCAACGAAGAGCAAAGATTTAAGTGTCAGAAAAATAACAGACAGAAATAGCATCGCTAGGAAGACATTTACTCAACTAAATAAAGCTTTTAGACTCACACTGAAGACGCAAGATTAGTCATTTCATAATGGAATGTTAAAAATATTTTTTCAAGGTCAGTTAGTGGGGATGCATAGTTTATTAGTTTATCAGTTTATTTGAAACGTCGAAGCCACACCTTGATGTTCCTCGAGTCTTGCAGATATAAGACAATGTGTCTTAACTACAGTCTGATTAATGACTGCTAACACAAGCTAACACACAATGAATGCCTTGGAGATAATAAAGTTAATCAATATATTTATCTTCTACTTAATTACTTTAGGGATAACAATTAAGGGACAGAAACATGCACCCCGATGTAAGCACTGGGCTTAAGGTAAATCATAAAAGCTCTGCGTCACATATGAGTGCATTATCTTTATAGACTTTTGGCTAGAATTTGCCAAAAAGCATCTGGTGGGAGTGACCACATAGGATAACTAACATCAAGTGCAGGAGCAAAGAAAACCATCGGGGGACTTACAGGGCTCTCAGCCAGGAGGCCTTTTCCAATTTCTGAATTCAACTAATTAAGTTACATCCCTGCAGTCTGATGGGCGACGCTGTTCAGACTCATACCAGCCTGAGCCGCCGAATTCGGCATGGATCGACCACAGCTTGCCTCCCGCCGTTCGGCCGTTAGGCATGTAGGAAGCGCAAATGTGAAATTACGGCCCGTTATGTGCCGCGACCGTCACGTTTATATCCTGCAATGCGAAGAAGGACTCTGTGCCAAGCCTCATACTGTAGCTATGCAACACTTCGCTTAATGCATGCGCTTGGATTCATATTAGGCTAATTGTGTATGCTAGCCATGCCATCAATGTCTAAATTCAATGTAGGATTCCAGCGCGGTTGCAAGAGATGCCGTAGAGCAGGTCAATGAGAGTCTCTGCATGTGTGTCTTCTGTAAACCTTCTCTTAATATAATCAAATGTTAGCCAGCTAGTTTTTGATGTTATGGTCAAAATTCAGTCATAATTACTCCACAGAACCTCCAGAGAAAATGTATATTTTGGGACAGCAGTGGCTATGGGTTAGCATGTCCTTAGAATAAGTATTAATGAGCAACGTCAGGACTTCTTCTCCTAAAATAAATCAATTTTGAGGTTTTTCAAAGTATGGAAGGTTTGCATTCTTTTATGTCACAAAAGGGAGGATAAGGTATGAACTCCAAATAAGACAAAGAAAAGGATCCCTTATCCTACAGAGTTGTCAGTACTGTCCTGTTTTCTGGTACCTGTGAGTCCTCAAACTCACACTCGTTGTCAAGGTCACTGTGCTCAACATCAACAGGACACATGGATGGATTTGTCTAAATGCTTGGAAATTACCATCTTCTTATGGTCAGGGACCCTGAGTGCTGGAAAGAGCTTCTCCTTGAAGGTTCAACAGGAGGCTGTAAGAAAAGACACCGAAAATGATAATGTGCAGTAAAGTCAAGTTTACTGCCTGTTATTCATGCTTAATGGAGAATGAGCATGTGCATTACTTGGATGCAAGTGAATAGTTTTACATTCTGCATCATAAAAATGCAAGCTGGCAATTTGATTAATAAAATGCAAAGTTCTAGATGACCTTTGTAAAGTTCCAGAGAGTTTTTGGCTTCTGGATCACACGGAGACATTCAAGGGGTAAAAACTGGAACTGAAACAGAAGCGATTGTGTTTCTTCTTAAAAACTTGATGACTGTTTCCCTTCTGAAGACAGACATCAGCCTGAAATGTCCGAACAGAGAGAGGGATCCAGCACCTTGTGGCTGATTAAGAGTTAAAGACAACTGAACTGAACGCCCTGCAGTTGCACTGAGGCCCGGCTAAATGACCCATGAAACCTAATGGCAGCCGTAAAGAGAAGCACGTGCCCGACTGAGTACGTGCGACACCATTTCCGGGCCCCGGACGACAACCCAGGTATGTAGAGCCCAACCTGCATACCTCTGTCTGGCCAGGGGAGGCCAGCAGGACAAAAAACAACATATTTCCATTTTCCAGTGTGCAGAGAGACACACTCCAGTGGGTTTTATGCAAGCGGGGACACCATGCACCAGAGACAGGGGGGGGGGGGGGGGACGATGTCACGAGGTGTTCAGGGAACATCCCAGAATGCACCAGCAAAACCCTGGATTTGAGGAAGCTGTGTTCTATCCATGAACTGGCATCGCTCCTGGCTCCTGCCTCGGGGGACTCCGTCCGGCTGGGTTTTACGGAAGGAAGAGAGCTCATTATCCTTTAAGTGGCCACTCAGCGAGGACGGGGTTCTGGGGCTGGTAATCCTGTTATGGCATAGCTTCCAAACTCAGAGCTGTGGGGTCACAGCTGCAGAATGTTGGACAAAGGCTTTTGGTTCGGTGCAAAGATGAAAATAAAAAGACCAGCTTTGGAAAAGGACCAAAGAGCCTGTCCTCTCTGTAAATGAACGTTCCTAGTATCTCTGGTGGACTTTAAAGCAGAAATCAAATGCAATTATCAGCGGTGTGCTTTTAGACACTGTCATTTATTTTCTGAGCATAGCTGTGAATTGGCTGTGAATAGAGTTATCAATTGTTATGCAGCCATCCATGCTGCATGCGCTCTTACCCAGTACAGGTTTGCAGAGAGTCTGTCCCTGGTAGCTCAGGGCAAGGGACACTCTGGAGAGCTGGGAAAATAAACATAAAATCATAATTAAATAAATAAAAGCACCGGACCACATAAAGTTGCCTAGAAACTCACTTCACATCCACTGAGTCACACACACACACAAATGAAACTTGGCCTCGACACAGGTGTGGGTAATTATCAGCTAGATGAAAAACAATTACGCATTTAACAAAGACTGCTTTCGCTGAAATTGGGCAAAATCACTAAGTCGGTTTTTATTAGCAGTTAGAAGTAATTGCAGTTTTACACAGCAGCTGCATCCAACGCAGGACTGCAGAGCGACTCAAATCGCGAAATCAATTCATCTCCCGACTGCCTGTGCAGTAGAGGGTGTGGAGGAGGAGAAGCCTGAACCTTCCCTTGTAAGCGTGGCGTACTGGGCAGGAAACACCCTTGACTGGGAGACAGGTCATTGCATTGCTCCCACGTGCTCACCACAGCCAATTAAGAGACAGACATTCACTTACTGTAGCTACATGTCGAAGCGCAAGGGGAGACCTGTAACCCTACGTGACACGGAGAGAACATGCAAACAAAGACAAAGCAGGAGACGGAGTCAAACCCGCAACCCGGGATATATATTTATAGATGTAGCAGATCAGAAAATAGCCTAAAATTGTCCCTGCTCTCTTTACTGACAGGCACACAGAATCCCATCTCCAGACCCTCAAGAAGGAGATATTCAAGGATTTCTACAGCTAAAGAACAGGCCAGTTTAAAGAAGAAAAACAAATGTGAGCCAATCTATACTTAGAGTGGCCTTCAATGAAGTGAATATCACATACTGTGTGAATATCATATACGTGGATGTAGCTGTAGGTGGATGTGTTTCTGATGGACACAGAGTATTACCCACAAAACAACAGGCTGATCCGGGAAAGACATCGCCCAGAAGGGTATTTTCCTGCGGCATTTCACTCATCCTTCGTTACTCATTTTTTCATGTTTTTTTCTCCCATTTATTTTTTTTATTTGAGACAATTTTTCTGATATTATGAAGTTACTTAACAGATGCTCTTTGACTGATTACCTGCCTGCTTATACCTTTTTTGTTCTAATGGATTTAACTGATTTATGCAAAAGGATATTTTCACAGTAATAATTCAAGTTGTCTATCTTTTTCCAAGATACACAAACTGATCATCTCCTGGAATTCACAGACAGCTCCTCATAGGTCATAGGTCTGGGTCTTAAAAAAACAGCTTCTTACTCTATGTAGGATAGAGAAATGGTTTTAAAAAGCCTAAAAATAATCGCTATTATATTGCTAACATACATCAACATGTGGATTACCAAAGTCTTTTTATGTTGGCCAGAAATACTACCCTCAAATTTTAATTGACCTTTCAATGTGAAACACTGTATTTTACAGTGCAATATATGATTTGACTAAAACATATACTGATAAAGATGTGTATTGCCTATGTGCATTCCTGGTCAATAACCAATAACTCATTTCAATATGGTATAATTAGATATTGACTAGTATAAGTACTGGCTAGTGGGGAGGCACTTCAATGCAAACACATTACTCGGAAACACACAGATAATGCATTGTAAACAGATATTTTTTTCTACCTGAAGTTTCACAATATTATTCGAAAAAAGTCAGCTCCATGACTGATATGTCTGTCCGGCCAGTCTGTTAGAAACACATGAGTTTCACTAACTAGTTGTTTCACTTACTGCCAGTTTTTTTTTTTTTTTTTAAAGAGATCACTTTATTCTATAATCGAGGGAGGCGTCAGTGTTATTTGCAAAATTCTTTTAAGCCGCTATACAAACCCAAACCCATAAACCTTATATTACTTATAATTTTTAGCTGTATGTGTTAATTCCTTCCATAAACAACATTTGAAATACTGAAAAACAATGCTTTACTTTCTATTGCTGTTATCAAATAACTGTTGCACAGCAGTGAATTGTACTTCCCTAACAAACTGTGGTAACGTTAACGTCAATAAACGCGAATTCTGCATCATTGGAATTTAAGATTATTCCCTTTAAATATATATTTTTATATTTACATATATAAATAAATTCTCTCATTGTTCAGTGTCTCCTGTTTAAGGATATAGACAGATAATTACAGGTTTATTGTTACTGGGGCCCCATTAAAAGTGTTATTTCACCTCCTGTAGTGTAGTGACTATTTGTGGTCAACAGGGGGCCCCCAAACCTCAGGGGCCCCATGTAAATGCATGCATTTGGATGGTGGCAAACATTGCCATAGCGGAGACACACTAGTGAGCACGCAAGACAATAATGAGAGGCAGAGAACCTTCAGAGTGCCGTAATTCAATTAGAATTTGCAGGCTTCCAAATGAAACGTTTGATGATTCTTTTGTTTACTTGTTTTTAAGCCATTCAATGCATTATTCATGTATATGAAGTAGATTGAATAATGTACACTCATTCACCCCCTCAGAACCCAGAGTCGGGATGCTCAAACGATAAATTCTAAGACAATGACTTCACTGATGTTGTTTACCACAAGTTGCACAGACCTGCTGCAGGTCTGACATGCAAATAAATAGATTGTGAAGGAGCTGCGATTTATTTTTGTCTCTCCTAACTGCTTCAGCAGAAATTCGTTCCTTTCATGTGAACACAGCTGAAGAGGATCAGAGGACGTATTATCAGGATGCCTTTTTTATGGCTTGAGAAACTATTTCCAAAATTACGACCTAATCCGTTATTTTTCTGGAATTATTTTCCCTGATACGTAAAAGAAAAATATACATCGGAAAGCTAATTCCCATCTTACTTTATTTTCAGTGCATATTGAAAAAGCATAGTTCATTAAACATCTTACCCACACACTGCTGGTTTTTAAAATGTTTCACTATGAGGAGATGGGAAATTGCTGTTTTATTATACAGACAAGTCACAATATTACAGCACTTTACATTTTCTTTCTGCATGCATATGTAAATGCTTCTATATATAAAAGCCACATCACACACATCAAACATTTACTGCCTTCCCTGTAAATCTGTTCAGCTCATCAAGATCAGCAGTGGATCTGCCATGGAGACCGATTCCTCTGCAGAAAGTCAACTACATGCGTTTTACATTTTGCAATCATCTGATTGGCTGGTGAAGATGGTGTCCTGGAGCACATCCACATTGATAGACAGACAGAACACTGGATGTGTTCTGTCTGTCTATCAATGTGGATGTGTTCTGTCTGTCTATCAATGTGTATGTGTTCTGTCTGTCTATCAATGTGGATGTGTTCTCTCTGTCTATCAATGTGGGTGTGTTCTGTCTGTCTATCAATGTGGGTGTGTTCTGTCTGTCTATCAGACAGAACACACCCACATTGATAGACAGACAGAGCGCATTGATAGACGGAAGGAACACATCCACATTGATAGACGGACAGAACACAACCACATTGATAGACAGACAGAACACATTGATAGACGGAAGGAACACGTTCACATTGATAGATGGAAGGAACACATCAACATTGATAGACAGACTGAACACATCCACATTGATAGACGGAATAATAAAATTTGTCGAGAGAAGGTACAAGTTTTTCTCGAGCATCACCACCAGAATCCATCCTGGTCGACCCTCCATGAATTCTTGCGATTCTCCCAATTAGCCACTCTAGCTTAGAAGGAAAAATCAAGGAATGACGATGTGATTTATTCTTGACAAGCAGACAGGGAGGACTGAGGAGGGGAAGGGGGGGGGGGCACTGCCCAGTATCGATTCAGGGGGCTATTGGTGTTTGAGGTGCGGCTTGGAGGTTTGAGCCTGACAGTAAGGAGCTTACCCATGCTGACTTTAATGGGGGGGGTTAAATCTCCGAAGGTTTGGTGGGTGGGGCCACATCTGCAGGCGTCTCATCCAGGTGGAAATAGGCCAGATGGGGGGGCTGAATGTGGGACAGCACGTCTGCAGCTCTCTACGAGGAGAATATGACACTGCAGGTCTGCATTCATCCTGCGATGAATCCATGACATTGCACAACTCAGCATCGGCACTGGATTCCCCCCCACCGACCCCCGACCCCCTGCCGCCCTTCCCATCACTGCATGAAACCTTCCCCGAGGCCACAGTAAGAGATTCCCAGCACGCCGAGTGCTTTCCCAGAACAAAATGGCCTTTCAGTCTGCTTTCTGAGAACAAAGTTACACTGCGTTGGCCTAAAACAGGTAATATGAGAAGGACTGGGGGTTGGGGGCAGTCAGCAAATATCCAGAGAAATGCCTGAGAATCAGAACGTCTTCAGGAACGTTCCCCTTTTTCTTCAGTTTATGCAGTGATCAAACAGTATGTCGTATTAATCGAGAGGAAGACACTTGTGTCACCGTGATATATCGAGGCCTGAGAGAATCACTGCCACCGAGATGAATGATTGGATGGATTCCAGGAAACCAGGCAGCAAAATGATAAACAGTGTTAGCATAGTGTGTCTCTGAACAAGGTCTCACTCTCTGATCCTTATCGTCCTCTCGTGAAAATACCAAGTGTCACTACATAGTTATGGCAACCATGGTAAAAGGTAAGAAGTCCAGGAACAAAACAATGTAACTCTTATAGACTCATACGGGGTCCGACAATGAACCTGAAACACTGGCCAATACTGTTTGAGGTTTCACACCCATATACACTACTGTGCAAAAGACTTAGGCAGTTTATGAAAATTGTGCGCAAATGATCTTCATGTTGGTATAAAACTATGATATTATGTCTGTCAAAGCGAGAAGCTTAGCTATTTCAAAATCTCTCCTAAGGTCACTCCAGTATTTCCAACAACCATCTAATGTATTTTTTGACTCGACCAGTACCTCATATAGCTAATCAATACCTCACTGACTTTCTTAAACTAATTAAATAAAAGGATTAACTGAGCTCTGTGTGAAATGTAAGACACACGTGGAACGGCTGAGGTGCCCCTGAGGAGAGGTTTGGGAACTGAAGCGGCGTTCATCTAGCCGTCCAACGAGTTTTCAGTTCATTTTTGAAAACGTAGAAAATTATTCTTAGTTTTTGTTCTATTACTTGTAATTTTCTTATGTTCTAATGTTCGTCCTGGGTATGACGTTAATCTACATCCTGCCCTATGAGGAGGTCCTTCAACTTACTGGGAATAATTTGGGAGTTGGTGGCAGGATTGGCACTTCAGCCACTGGAAAAAACCTCACACTGGTCCATCTGGACTGGTGTGGTGCTGAGGTATCACCTGCCACAAGACTACACTCAGGTTCTCATCCCTGAGGTGGTTTGTCATGTGACGGGTGCAGCAACGCACTGAAATCAGTGCACGTACCTTACCTTACCATACCTTACCTTAATGTTAAACTGCATTATTTCGTTCTCACCAGATATATCCTTACTACTCAGATGCACAGCTTTAAACATTTACAATGCGTAACCTGCTGGCCCATCAGTAAGAGCAGAGTGTGAAGATTGAATTAGCAGGGCAATAGCACAGCTGTACATAACATATTGCAGTCCACACAGCATAATGGGAGATATACCAGAGTTCAAAAGAGGACAGTTTGTTGATGTGCGTCTCGCTGGCGCAGCCGTGACCAGGACAGCAAGTCTTTGTGGTGTTTTCGAGAGCCACGGTAGGTGAAGGTAAAGGATGGATTGCGTCCCACAGGAGTAACTGTGGATGCCTGAGGACGCTGTCTGAAAGGAGGGCACTAACCCGGATTGTATCCAAAAACATAAAACCACAGCTGCCCAATTTATTCCAGAATTAAATGTGCAACTTTCGTCTCCTGTTTCCACCAAAATTGTTCATTGGGACCTGCACAGAGTCAATAATCGCAGTCAGGCTATAGCCAAACCTTTGGTCACTCATGCCAATGCCAAACGTTGGGTTCAATGGGGCCAGTAGTGCAAGTCTTGGGCCGTGGACAATGTGAAGCCTGGATTGATATCGGATGAGTCCACCTTCACTGTCTGAGTTACGGTGTGGAGACGCCCCAAAGAGGCTTACCACCCAGACTGCTGCGTACCCAGAGTGCAGCACGGGGGTGGATTAATGATGGTTTGGGCTGCAATACCATGGCATTCCTTAGGCCCACTACCTGTTCTAGATTGGCATGTCATTGCCAAGGACTGCCAAACCATTCTGGAGGACCATGGTCACCCAATGGTTCTGACATTGTACGCTGAAGGTGGCGCCGTGTATCAGGATGATAATGCACCGATACAAACTGCAAGACTGGTGACATGAAAGTGAAACTGAGCATCTCCTATGTTATTCAAATCCCGGTCCTCGAGGTCCGAGCCCTGCTGGTTTTCCAGCCTTCCTTTACCTGTCAGTCAGGTGTGAAGCCTCTGACCAATCAGAATCAGTAATTATTAAACTAACTACCTGGGAGAACTGAAAACAAGGCCTGGATTTGGAATTGAGGTCCAGATTTGATGAACCCTGTCCTATGGTGTTTCAGTGTCATTGTCCAAGCCTTGTAGACCTGCCTAAGTGTTTGTTTCTTGGCCATTTCAAACCAGCATTTCTTTCTATGGTATATAACTCAAAGGAAAAAGTAACCTTAAAGTTGAATCAACACATTCGTTTTGCAGCTCAAAAAAGGATTATTCATGATTCATCTTTCCGTCTCAGGAGATTTTTGTAATACATATGCAATGCCTGGTCTTACAACAAGATGAATCCTATCTACTTTAAAATATACCACACGTGTATTTGTGGTTTTCAAGCAGAAAAATCTGTTAAATCTACAGTTTCTCACCCCACCCCCAATTTTCTACACCCATAAACGAGACGGAGGTTTGATAACATACCTAAAGCATGAGAATAATGATAGATACATACTACAAGCTGCATTCCCAGGACTGATTGGTGGGTATTAATGTTCTGAGCACATGGAACCCTGCCTGTGTTATGAGTCACACCAGGTCTTTTAAAAAAGTGTTTTCTTGGACATATTTATTGTGAATGCAAACAGCGGTGCTTCATGTATGGTGCATTTCATAGCAAAACACTGAACTCAGGATAAGATTTCTTGGATGAAATTCCCTCCAGAGCTCTGGATAAATAAGCTGCCAACGATTAGACTTAGATGACTCAGCTGTAGAGAATGTCTGTTTTGTTTATTCTGCATGAAAAAAGTGGAAATTTTCTTAGGCCTTTCGGATACTTGGCTTTCTAACTGGTTCGGTAGAGTTCGCTATGCCTTACAAACAGTACCTAGGAGTATTACCGTGCAATGTAGAATAAAAAAATAAAATATATAAATAAAATAAATTTTAAAATAATGAAAGCAATTTCTCTAACAGTATAAAAGTCTGATTTTACCACAAAGCCAATTTCTGTACGTGGTACTGTATATAACTATAACTGTTTTCTTTTTAAATCAGTCTCTTAAATAAACAATACACAATGACTTTAGACTACACTTATTGTCTTTAGACTTTATTGTCCTCGTGGGGGAAATTCTTCTCCAGAGTGCTGTACATTGCAAAAGAGTGAACATCACATTTTAGCCCTATCACTACACAACAGAGAATATGGCACGCGCACACACCATCACCACACAACAACGACAGAGGATACCGTGAGGACAGCGCGTGACGGTAGGCGAATGAAAAGCTCGAGAAAGGAAGCAAGACGCCTTGTTCCCTCAGCGATTGGTTACGTTTAAGACTGATATGGCCTCGGGTATCATCAGGCTTTGGCCAAAGCGAGCCCTGCTGTCCTTTGTCTGTGCAGTTTAGTGAAATGTAGTTCAGTGAATATATATATATATATATATATATATATATATATATATATATATATATATATATATATATATATATATATATATATATATTCTTATATCATATAATCAATTCATTTTAATTATAAAAAACATTTTTAAGGATTTAGAATAAGTTTCCATCAAATAATGCACTAAATTAGAGCTTTTAAAAAAATCAACGAAGCTGAAACGATGCAAAAAGTCTGCAAGAAGAAAACTATTTTATAGAGGAGAAATGCAGAATGAAATGTCGTCCAAAACCCGATAACATTGTGGGAATTTCAGGTTGCCGTGGGATACACGTCTAATTCGCTCACAGCCAGCTTGTGGTAACATGGGAGGGTCTATTTAATCCAGGCTTGTGTTGTTGTTTGCAAAACCTGACGGTGAAACAACTACTCGTATTTCAGTTGCTTATCGAGCCTGATGTGACTTAAGGTGAAGGGACAATTTATATAGGATAGTGAGCTGGACAGGTCTTTAACTGAACAAATCCAAGGACGTGTCAAATGTCCTGTGGGGGGGCATTCTATTACGTAAATATATAACTGTAAATCATGTGTCTTAAACCACTAAATATTCCACAAGATGTATGTTATTCATTATGTTTCACATGCATATACTGTGTGCCCAGTGATACACCCCCCATAAATTCTGCATATATGTGCGATTGACCAATGACGTTTCCTAACAGACATTAGAATAACAGGAGATGCAGCGCAGAGAACCCACAAAGCCGCCTTAAGTTATTAAATTATCAGAAAGTGCCGTAGGCCTATAACAACGAACATGTTCGATTTTCTCTTTTATTCCGGGTTAGTCTTCTTTTGGGAGGCTGTAATTTGCTGTGAAAGCACAACCATTGTCTGACTTACGAGTCTCACTTAAATATAAGTTCCCTGTATAAGCGCAACTCGGTATCATCGCAACGATTAGTCGGCAAAGTCGATTTCGATTACGTAAAACTTTTGTTTATAATTGCCAATACTTCGTTTACTTAAATTGATGTTCATATATAATTTTTCGAAAGAATGCAATACGTTACAGGAAGGGGGCAAAACCAATTATTGTCTCTTTGCGCAGTAAAACAAGGGATCGCTTATCATGCAGACACATGCAACTTTAAACGAAGAAGACAGCAAAGGGACACATACCGAAGACGGCAAGACCAAAAATATGCAAAACGTGGGAGGGTTTTTTCACTTAAAAATATAACACCATGGTATAGTGCAGCATTTACAATTTGGAGCAGGCAGCCGTCGAGGGGAGGAATGGACGGGCTTAGTCGGCTCTGAGATAACCTATTGTACCCCCCCCCCCCCCCCCCCCCCCGAGACAACCTATAGTACACCCCCACCGCCGGCTTTACCTGGACTGTCAGATAGAACAAAGATTCGATAAATAAATAAATATGTAAGTATTATATACATTATAAAATAGATAGATAGATAGATAGATAGATAGATAGATAGATAGATAGATAGATAGAATTAACTTGAAGGTGGTAGGAGGCTCAATTTTCTGACTGACTAGCAAACAATTGTAGGCTGTAGGGGGAGTAGTATTACTCCCCCCCTCCCCCCCTCCCCATGTGTGCTGCATAGCCCGACTGGCAAAACGCTTCTGGTGCTGGGGTTGAAGCGGAGATGGCGTTGCACAACAGTACCTCAATGATGCACAAACATTTTTTTTCCCCAAGGTGATTAGATGCTGCTTCTGACATGTTTTTAAGAAGATTAATAAATCAAAATGAATGTGACTGAAGTTTCGAATTCAAGTTCTATGTGCCATCAGATGAGTGATTTATCAGTAAAACAGGAAATGAATCAATAGATTAGTTGGTTCAGTGAATCGACAAAAGTTACCCAGTTATAACATAACAGCGTAGCGGTTCAGCAGAAGCCCGTGCTAAGATGCTTATGACATTGATAACATCAGTGACGTGGCAGTGACCAACCCCCCCCCCCCAAAACCACTAACCCTCAGATTTTCTATCCGTCCCTTTTCTGTACATTCTTGTCCTATTCAGGACTGCGAGGGGAAACCAGAGGAAACCCCACGAGGAGAACATGCAAACTCCACACACATGGAGCCAAGGTGGAGACTCAAACACGTGTTAGGTCACAGTGTTACCACCAACCACTGCGCCACCATGCCACCCCATCCTTCAGATATATATATAAATAACATTACAAGTAAATAAAAACGTGATATAGTAATACGGGGATCTTGACAAAATAGGCGAGATGTCACAATCAGTGAGATAAGGAGATCTTTCGACATAAGCAGTAAACTCAGGCCTATATGGATATGACTGTAGAAAGTGTACAAATGTCCACCATCCATAATGCACAGAAATAGTAATTGTTAGAATAACAATTTTTAGCAGCAATATCCATGTCCTGGTTTTGTTTCTGCCAAAACAAAGATAGCAAACCTTAGTTTATTAACCAATTTCTGAATACAGTATGAGAAAGAATATTGAGAACTTATATGTCAATCAGCCATTATTATTATTGTCATCATTACCGTTTCCGAAAAAAACAAAATCAGCTATAGGCTACATAGATGTTAGACAAACAGAAAACTTTAAGACAGGGCAGGTCAACCATATAGCTGACATAGGCGGCCGCCTAGGGCGCCAACTTCTGACGGTATGCTGACTTTCCAGCCAATTTGTCTTTGCCTCAAGCAGGGGGCGCCGGCGGTAATTCTCGCCTAGGGCGCCACATCGGTTAGGACCGGTACTGCTTTAAGTCCTATGTGTATATATGTGAACACTAATTTTTAACTGCTAACCTGTGAAGGTTGCATTGCTGTCATTCTTTTGAATTTCCATGTCTGTAATCTTTTTTTTTTCCACACAGGAAGAGAGGTGTGGCCGTAATGTTTCATTACTCGTGTCCTTAAGCATAAAATTAGAGGAGAGTGGGGTGCTATTTTGTCCTGCCTTTTTTAAACGTCTTGTTTTCTAAAACCTGGCATAAACCTGTCATAGTCAACAAAGCTGGATTTTATGCACTATTAAATACTGGAATATCTGGGCCAGGATTCACAAAGACCTATAAATCGGATTATTATAAAATCACCACCTAAGATCGGCGCACCATTGTGTGGAGAGGAATGCGCCTCTCTCGCGCATGACCTGCAGCAGCACGTGTGTTAAACCAGCTTGTGCCGCTTTTCTGGTTACAGCAGTCATAACCGGGGAGGAATACGACAATACTGTGGAATACAGTGTGAGTGGTATGGAATTGTCCGATTGCAAACAAGGGATTCAGGATTCAGCACGCTGGAGAGCTCCGACTGAAGGATGAGAGATGACAGCAGTAATAAAAATTACAGTGTGCAAACTGTGAGAAGTGATTAAGGCGATGAAACAAGCAGGAAGACATAATGGATGCATTTCGACAAGTTAAGCATACGATCGTGGAAACTTTGCGCTGAGAAATGGACTTAGCAGATATCCTCTTGGCGCTGTTTATTATTTTGGTGGCTATTGTGTCTCTGTTGTCTAACTTATTAGTGCTGATATGCTTTATGAACAGTGCCGACATCCGAAGACAAGTTCCCGGCGTGTTCATCTTGAACCTGTCGTTCTGCAATATAATCATGACCGTTTTAAACATGCCATCGACATTTCTGGGTGTTATTACGAGCCAGAAGCCGTTCGGGGATCCCATGTGCCGCGCCGTCAGCTTCCTGGAGACCTTTCTGACTGCAAATACGATGCTCACCATGGCATCTCTAAGCATCGACAGGTGGATCGCTGTCGTTTTCCCCCTGAGTTACACCCGCAAAATGCAATACAAGGACGCAGTCGTCATGGTGTGTTACTCCTGGGTCCATTCACTCACATTTTCCCTGGTCGCGGTGATTTTCTCTTGGGTTGATTACAGCCATGCATACGCATCGTGTACCTTGAGATTAAAAGAAGAGGGCGTCAGGATAAAGTATACCGCCTTCACCATCGCTTTCCACGCTACAAGCTTCGCTCTTTCCTTGCTCATATTATGCGTTACGTACATAAAAGTCTTAAAAGTTGCTCGGTTTCACTGCAAGAGGATAGACATTATAACCGTGCAAACCTTGCTCTTGCTGGTAGATATTCAACCAAGGTACTTTCGCGATTTTAAAAATTATTATTATTTATTTTTCATGTGTTAAAAGGGATTGCTTCAAAATTGCAAAATAGTGAAAGTTAGGCATGTGGTGTTGCACCTGCAGTTTAAACATCCCTAATCGACTAGTTTAAATGACTGCATTTAGACTTTTAAATATGTTTGCACCTTCAAAAGTATCTTATCTCTTATTCACAATTCTTTCAGTGTCAAACAGCGCTGCCTGGCCGAGCAAAAAAGAAGAAAACAGCGAGCTACTAGGAAAATTACCGTATTCATTGGATCGTTTATCCTCTGCTTCGCTCCTTATGTTACCACACGGTAAGTATAATGGAAACGAATGACGGCGGTAAAACCGAACATTCGTGATATCCGACTGCTCATTTTGCATAAAACATACAACATCTTGTTATGAGGAAGAATTTATTGACTTGTTGTAGTACCTGGAATGTCAGACACACAAACACTCACTGAACAGTCTATCGCAGGGGTGGCCAATCTTATCCGCAAAGGGTCGGTGTGTGTGCAGGTTTGTGGGAAAACCTTTATGTCAGCTGTTTCAAACCCAGGTGTGAGGACTCTTCAGCCAATCAATCCTTTAATTAGTAATCTAATTATGGAGTTGCAGCGAAAACCCGCATACACAGCAGCCTTTTCTGGATTGCCCCCACCCCCGCCAGTCTATCACTTCAGTTGACTGGCATGTGAAATGAGGCTTGACCTCATACCATGAGCTGGACTCATGAATGAACAAGATTGATTCGAGGAGCTGATTATATGTAAAGGTCTCCGGGTGGAGCAGGTGACCTCACGGCCGCCCGTGTTTCGCCCCTCTGACAGGCTGGTGGAGCTCCTGCCTCACGTGCAGATCAGCCGACGTTGGGGCATCCTCAGCAGGTGTCTGGCATACAGCAAGGCCGCAGCCGACCCCTTTGTCTACTCCCTCCTGCGGCAGCAGTACAAGGAGGTGCTGGTGCACGCCGTCAACCGGCTGCTACGGAGGGACTTCTTCCCCTCTTCGGGGCGCAGTGGCTCACTGGACACAGAAAATGACTGCTGCCTCCAGAGGATAAGCTGAGGAGCAGAGTGGGAGGAGGTCCAAGCGACAGGGAACCCGGCCGGGGAGGGGGCACGCCGTGAGAGGACAGCTTTGGCGGTCCGCGGTAACAGACTCCAGATTTCCGCGTGTTTATGTAGAGGTACTCCACTGTGTAGGTAAGATGCAATGGAGCCATCGTCCTTTGGTCCATGTTGTTTCAAATACAGTGGTACCTCAGTTCTTGAACTCATTAGAACTCGAATTTCCTAAAAGTCGAACCAACCAGTTCGGAAAAAAAAACCCTAGTACTCGATCTGAATCTCAGAAGTCAAACCGTGAACGCCGACCTAAGATAACTTGTACGCGCGGGGAAATGAGTCACGCGGCACGTCTCTCAGCAGAAACAAAGGGTAACGCTTCAGTCTCAGCCTCGCATTCGCTGTGATAGCATCGTGCATGTTTACATTACCTGAATACATATATTTAGACAGTAAAAATACATTTAGACAACGATAGACAGTAACAGTAATTATTGTTATATAATAAAATACATTTTAAAATAAATATTTCTTATTCATTATTTTAACATTAATAATAAACCATTAATACATTTAATTATAATAATATTGTCCTGCCGAGCGAGACAGAACGTAGACAAAGGCGCAGATTTCAGGGTGTCGGGGAATACAGGGTTTAATTACAGGTAAGGCGGGCAAAACGCAAACGGACAATACAATGACCGGAATGGGAAACAAACTGAAACGCGGACTAAATACGGAGGACTCATGACAACCAGAAATTAATTGGTTTTCCATTATTTCTTATGGGGAAAATTCGATCAGAAGTTCGAGAACTGAGGTACCGCTGTAGATAGCGGATGTCTTCAAAACCATGTGCTGTAATGCAAAGGCCGTCCCAAACCAACTGCCAATTAGAGCAGTGCACTCTGAAGTCGACGAGTGTCCCATTCCTCTAAAGAGGGCGGCTCGTTCACTTCCTCATTGCTATTACATTGCTGCTCATTCCTCCTTTTATGTACCTGTAAAACTGTTTTTTCTGAGTGTTTTTCAGAAGTAGCGTGGATAACAATTTTTGAAGTGTATTTTGTATATTTTTGATGCATTTTTCATATGGAGTTTCCAAACAACAACTGCAGATAAAAGCTGCCACTTCTGAGGGCCTCTTGCGAGATGCTTTCTGTGGACTTGCACTCTGTTACGGTGGAGATTAGGTCTCAGTTCAGCTAATGGAGCTACGAAGCACTTTTATGTAACTTTGAAAATCTGCACTCTGGATGCCTCTATTTTATTTCACATGCTACAATGTCTCTGATTTTTTTCAAACATTCTTTCATGGAGGAGTAAAGTATTACTTCATTGTCGTTTGTGCCTCTAAAAACTTTGAATGACAGGAGTTTAAACAATTTATAAATGGCAAATAATTCCTAGTCCTGGAGCAAGGAAACAACAAAACATTTAATTTAATCAAGTTTATTTTCACACCAATATTTACGGTTTTGCTTGAGCAGATTAAATGAAGTGAATTGCTCGGAGACCATACGTGGTCAATTATCCTCATACTATAAGCCCCGTCTGATAAGTTGTCTTGAATCTGAATGTGTTTATAAGGATTATTCCTTCAAAAAGGACACGCAGCACAAAAGGAAAGGTTATCTTGGCGGAGTACCACTTTTGGCAAACAGGCCGGCGCAAAACTGAATGATGCAAATTTATTTTCCTGTTTGTAATTAGCCTGGGAATTTACAAGAAGTGAAACAAAGAGAAGCTTGCAGCACTGAGACTACTCCGGTCACTTTCAGAGGGATCGAGATGAGGGCACAGATAAACAGTAATTAGGCCTGTTAAATGGACAATGCTCACGGTGTTAATCGATTCCTCTGCACAATGAACAGACTGACTTTGCTACCAGGAGCATCAAATGGACAGCCATGGAGATTTCACTTCTCGAGGGGAACCATTCCCCCAGCCTTATTAGACCAACTACTAATTAACTGTGAGTGCTATTTATAGCTACGCTTGCTCTGAAGTCAGTGAAGTACAACAAAGTATCAATCCTGGAGCAAAAAGGTCAGAAAAGCAATCAAAACTACATTAAAGGGGTTATCTATGTTATTAAAGTTACTAATGGGATACATTTCTGGATACACACAGCTCTTTGTGCAGCTTAATACCAATTTTTACGTGCCACTCATTGTGACAGTACACAGTTCACATGGAGAGAGTGTTAGGAGAAATTAAGCTTCGGAATCCAGAATGGGCAGGACTACAATGCTCTACCAATCACTGACAGTGGTGCACAGAAAGGTAACCAATGAGGCGTGGGTAACGGAGTGATTGGCAGCACACAATAATCCTACACACAGCGGGATTCAACTCATTGTCCCTCCCTTAACTCCCATCAGATGAGAAACATTATGAGAGGTCTTCTCTATTTCAGCACAAAACCTGCTTGAAACATTGATCTTGGTGATATCACTCATGTCCAGCATGGAAAAACATAATGCATTTTTGCCCTTGTTATTTAGATTAAGCCCCAAAGAAAAGTATGTGTTTCCTTGTAGTATTTTAGCTTCTGTCATATAAATAAGTACTGCCAGATTACTTAAACATGGATTCGCACTCCTGGTGAATATTTTCATGCAGAGTTGACATTTATAAAATAATACTAGTTCAGTTTATAGATTTATCGTTCCGTTTGAACAGGTGAAAGAGAATGTAATAGTGAGAATATTAAACTGTGTCGTTAGTGTGGATATAGTTGTACGGCCTTTATGTGAACTACGGACTGCGAAGACTAATGGCGATATTTGTTGAATAAAGTTCTATTGTGTCAAAGTGGATCGTTGTTTACTATGTGTTGTTATTTTTCCACACATCCCTGCGCAGTAAAATCACACAAGGGCTGATGGATTGAAGAGTAATATCAGGAAATGCAACAATGCGTCTGATGTATTGTAGTATAATCAGTGGCGCAATCCTGTGAAGGGCGACATCTTGAGAGGGGGCGCAAACCAAAGACCTTCCGTCGACACCGGCAGCCCATGTATTGTCATCTTCTATGAAATTTCTCGATGTATTATCATCTTATTATCATCCTGTTGTCTAGCTGTCTTGTTGTCTATGTTCACTGTCTGCAGGAGCACATGCAAGCAGCATTTCATTGTACATGGTACTCGTACACATGACAATACAACAATTGAATTGAATCGAATCTTATATTAAACATTTTCCATGTTTTATCATATTACATGAAATGTTCTATCGAGTTTTCTTACGTAATATACCGTGGGTTAGGACTACATTTATATTTAAATATTTGGACTTTTCATGTTTTTTACTTCACACTGAACAACACGCGCCTAAACTCGTCACCCTGTCTCTTGCACAGTTTCGCCTCCTAAACGTGCAGATCACGTCTTAGTCTCCTCTCTTGTTTGAAGCTTATTATTTTAGTGCATTTAGAGCTATATGTATATTATTACTATAAATTAATAATATTATACTACCGTTAAAGTCTAATAACCTTAGATAGACTTTGGTAATTTCACCAGATATAAAAACTAATAAGTTTAGTAGCCTATAGTACCAAGTACCAATCCAATTACAGACACTGGAAAAAAACTAAAAACTCAGCAGACACAAACATGCACTTCTAGACCTCTACTGGGAAACCTCTCTCTACGTCTACATTTTTTTGTCTTTTGAAATCTGAGAATAATATACAGGCGTCTTTTTGCGGTATGCGGGGGATGCTCCGTAGTGGCTAATTACAGCGGACAGCGTGAGCTTAGTGCCACATCACAGTACGAACTGCACGTATGGCACACAACCAAAGATGAAGATGATCTCCACACTCTTCGCGTTAAGTATTGTATCTGCTCTTGTTTGGTGCGCGCCGCCGCCATGCGAACCCGAAGACCGCCGACTAGGTAAGGTACAAATTAATACTTTTACGTACAACTGCAATCGGAAATGTTCGTATGTTTTACGTGAGTTTTTTTTCCTATTAAGTCATTTCAGCGGCATGCCAGCGTATATGTGGAGCTTTTTGAAAGTATGGCGTTTTTTTTTCGGGACAGATAAAGTAAAAAAAAAAAAGTAAAGCACTAAGTCATGTTTTAATTTATTACGCGACATTGAAACAGTCTGATTACGAAAGTGTCCATAAAGCATTGATGTGTGTAAAGGCTAACTCTCTGACAGTAATTTAATTCTCTTTTGGCGATTCGACCATTAAAGGAACCGCAGCGAATTTCTGTGATTTCTCCTTCTTACTCTTTCCTTTCAAAGCGAATACATTTTACGGCATTGCCCTGCCCTCTAGTGTCAAACTGTACCCTGACGCTCTCAGCTTAGCATTCATTTTCCAATACTGTGTGATCTCTTTCAGGAAGATGCCAGACTACGCCAGAAGATAAAGGTAGGTCTTCTTCTGAAAAAAAGAAAGCATTCTTATCGTATCTGTTAATCCACGTCGGGAGAGGGGTAGCTATGGGCTAGGACAGGGCTTGTATACTACACATTCAATTAAAAGGACCTGGATTTCACTTAAGCACTGAGTTCTTGCTTTGTGCTGATTGGTCAGTCTCCGATAATCATGCATGTGTCACTGATGTTAATGTGAAACAGCTGGATGAGACTTTCAAGCAAAGACTCAAACCATTCAAAGCAGAAGAAGAACTGAACTATTTAGCCGAGCACAGGAGCCTTTCAGTATTAAAGTAGATTGTAAAACCTGAAGTAGCTCATAGCGTCCCCCTGATATGGATTACGTGGGCATCCTACTCAGCGGCCACTTTATTAGGTACACTTAGCCATCATAGCGTAAGACCCACTTCTGTATTTAGAATCACTTCAAGGGTACATGACTTGGAGATGACTTGGGCCTTTTGCACACGCCTGTCTAAGCATTAATTGCGTACTTAATAATTTAAATCAGCTGAGCGTGTGATGAATTCTGCTAGCAACTTTTAAAGGTCAGAAAACTATCACAGTCCATTAAATGAGTGGCACTTGCAAGGACAGGGCGTGAAAGAGTTTCAGGTAGCAAGAGCAAGCTGAGACCTGATCCGCATAGCTCTGTGGGGGGAGCTGGTGCTCCAGGGCCAGGCCAGGCTGGGGGCTGGTTACCAATGATCTACAATCCACAAATCGGACAGAAATCTAATAGTGAAAACACCTCTGAGAAACGTAGAGGGCAACGGGATACTGGCCAGCCAGCAATTCAATTTTTTTGAATATAAGGCCTGATCGCATGTTTCAAACATGCAATCATTCCCTAAGTCAACATTAAATGTTTTAATAGGGCCCATTAAATATTACTCGATTCTAAAGGATGCATTGCTGTTAATTCGGCTTGACAGTTTTATTTTTAATATTGCGAAGATTGCAGTACAGGTTTGCAGACCCATAACTTGCTTGAAAAATGATTTAAAAAAACTAAAAGTGTTTCCTTAAAATGCATATTATTGTTATATTATAAAACATAACGTTTGACTCTCGTAGATCCATAAAATGCAGTTGTTTATATTGTTTGTTTTAATCTGCCCTGAAATATGTCTACGGTGAGTTGAATAGTAACTTGATTAGCGCGCACCCCTCCCTCGCACGAGCACAGAATACCTGTCATTTCCAGGCACGTGCACAGACATGGTGCTAGGCTACTGCGAAGACATGCCCTACAAGAAGATCACCTTCCCCAACCTCCTGGACCACCGGGGGCGCCACGAGGCGGAGACAGGGGCCGAGTATCTGCTCCTGAGCGTGGTGCACTCCCTGCTCCGGGGCGAGTGCTCCCCGGACATCCGTATGCTGGGCTGCTCCGTGCTGGCGCCCCGCTGTCAGGATGGGCGCACGCTCAAGCCGTGCCGCAGCACGTGCGAGGCCGTGCGACGGGGCTGCGAGCACGCCTTCGAGGGCATCGACATGGCCTGGCCATACTTCCTGGACTGTGACCGCTTCTTCGGCAGCGAGGAGGAGGGCTGCTATGACCCCTTGGAGACCCTCAGAGGTGGGATCATTGGAGCCAACGCCTCATCACTGATGCATTGCAAAATTATTTAAATCTAGGCAATGCTGCTGCTAGTTTCCTGCCATTTCATGTCACTTCCTGTCGTTTTACGATGTCATTTCCTTTCGTTTTACGATGTCATTTCCTGAATGTTAAAAAAATGACAGTATTTCATGGTTTTTATTTATTTTTTTGGGTGAGTTTAATTCTGCTATGTATTATCATATATGTTTCTTAATATTTTATATACACAGTATATGGACTATTACTTTTGAGTTTTTATTTTCTGAAGCACATTTGGCTACAGGAACAACCACTGATTATGTTCTTTTTTATGAGTCATGAAATAAATATTGTCCATTTCTACTGACCTTTAGGATAGGTCCCATGGAGAATCTGTAATTGGTGGAGTATAATCACGTGTTTTACATGTTCTGGAGGAAAGAAAAGTAGTTTTTACATATACAATAAATTTGCTATACAGTGAAAATGTCTGGGATGTGAAAAAGGTTCATAGTCTCTTAAAAACTCGATTTGGAGTGCCTATTTGTGTGGTAATCTTGTAATACAGTTCTTCAGCTAAGTTCTCTTGTCTTGTCCTTCCTCCTGAATTCGGACATCCAGCCCAGCAGGAAGTTGCTGTGGCTGAGATCTCACCTGAGGGGCCGTCCACCGTCATCCAGTTCACCTATCAATCCAACGCGCAGATGTTCAGCATCCTGAAGAAGACGGCTACGAAGTGCTCCGACATCTCCAGGACGTACAGCATCGGCCGCAGTGTCGAGGGGAAGGACCTCCTGGTCATCGAGTTCTCCAACAATCCCGGACAGCACGATATTCGTAAGTGATATTCTTCCTGACCTTCCCCACAGTTGGATTTATAAGGAAGTGTTGATAGAGTAATTCTTCACTGTGTTCTGTCAGAAGACTTTAAACATGGTATCTTGTGGTCTTATGCAACACAGACAGCCTTTAATCAGGTACCAGACTGCCTTTAATCAGGTACCTGACTGCCTTTAAACAGGTATCAGACTGCCTTTAATCAGGTAGCAGACTACCTTTAAACAGGTAGCAGACTGCCTTTAATCAGGTAGCAGACTACCTTTAAACAGGTAGCAGACTACCTTTAATCAGGTAGCAGACT